CCAAGGACAGGGTAGTCCCATTGCTCACTGAGGAGGGAGAAACAGTAACAGGAAACTTGGAAATGGCAGAGATGCTTAATGACTTCTTTGTTTCTGTCTTCACCAAAAAGTCTGATGAAGAAATGCCTAACATAGTGAATACTAGTGAGAATGGGGTAGGTTTAGAACATAAAATGAAAAAGAACAAGTTAAAAATTACTTGGAAAAGTTAGATGTCCTCAAGTCACCAGGGCCTGATGAAATGCATCCTAGAATACTGAAGGAGCTGATAGAGGAGGTATCTGAGCCTTTAGCTATCATCTTTGAAAAATCATGGAAAATGGGAGAGATTCCAGAAGACTGGAAAAGGGCAAATATAGTGCCCATCTAAAAACAGAGAAATAAGAACAACCCAGGAAACTACAGACTAGTCAGTTTAACTTGTGTTCCAGGAAAGATAATAGAGCCAGTAATTAAGGAATTCATCTGCAAACACCTGGAAGATAATAGGGTTATGTAACTGCCAGCATGGATTTGTAAACAACAGATCATGTCAAACCAATCTGATAGCTTTCTTTGATAAGATAACAAGTCTTGTGGATAAGGGAGAAGTGGTGGACATGGTGTACCTAGACTTTAGTAAGGCATTTGACAGAGTCTCACATGATCTTCTTTCTTATCAATCAATTAGGCAAGTACAACTTAGATGTGGCTACTATAAGGTGGGTGCATAACTGACTGGATAACCGTTCTCAGAGAGTAATTAATGGTTCGTGATCCTGCTGGAAAGGGATAACAAGTGGGGTTTCGCAGGGTCTATTTTGGGACCAGTTCTGTTCAATATCTTCATCAGTGATTTAGATATTGGCATGGGGTGGGGGTACAAAGAAAGCCACAGGCTTGTGGATGTAAGGGTTCAGGAATTTGGGTTGGGGTATATGATAGGCTCAAATCTAGGGTCTGGGGAAAGGGGAGGAGTGCAGGAGTGTTATGATGCTGTGGCCAGATGGGGGCTTGGCCCCAATTGGGGGTTTGTTGGCCAGGCTTCATTTTTAAATAAAATACTATGTCAAACACAAAAAGTTTCTGCGTCGTCTTTATTTATGAGACGGGCAGGAAACCTGTTTTGAGTGGGGGTCACTGACCCACAGAAAAGTCAGTTGGAACACACAAGTGAGATGCAAAAAAACCCCCAAACTCCTCTAAACCCAGCCCTCTCCCCCAAGCCTCACTAATGTGGCCCCAACTGTGCTGGCGGGAGCAGGGGACGTGGTACTGGGGAAGGGTGCTAGTGGGTGTTGGGGCAGGGGACAGGGTGCCAGTGGGGGCATGGTTCTGCGGCTGGGGGCAGGGAGAGGGAACAGAGTGTCGAGAGGGCAGGGGACAGGATTCTGCAGCAGGGGACAGGGTGCCAGTGGGGGTAGAGAGTCCCCTGCACCAACCTCCTCCCAGGATTTCCTCCCAGAGGAGGGAAGCCCTGTTGCACGCCTCCTCCGGGCCAAACTCCCCACTCCTGCAGAGGAAGGAAGCCCTGTCGCGCGCCTCCGCCAGGGCTAGCATGAGCCTCCTGTGGAGCAGTGAAGCCCCCGTCGTGCGCCCTCTCCGGGCCTGACTCCTGTCTCCCGCAGAGAAGGGAAGTCCCAGTGTGCGCTTTTCGGGACTCACCCGGTAAGTTCCTGGCACGCCACAGACTTGGGGCAAGGAAGCAGGCAGCGCATTTCCGGAACACCCAGAAGTGACACACAGCTGCAGGACTTCCGTCCACCCTGTGGGAAGCTGCCACTACCTCCGCTGTCGCTCGAGGTAGGTAGTGGGGCTTCTTGGGGGTGGGGGGAAATAGGTGACCCGGAACGCCTCGTGATCGACTGGTCAAGGTCTCATGATTGGTGACCACAATTCTAAGGAATGATAGAAGGGAGAACAGTAAAATAGAGACAATGGATTTCAGGAAGGCAGATTTTGGTAAACTCAGAAAGCTGGTGGGTAAGATTCCATGGGAAGCAAGACTAAGGGGAAAAACAATTGAAAAGAGTTGGCAGTTTTTCAAAGGGACATTATTAAGAGCCCAAAAGCAAGCTATTCCACTGCATAGTATTCCACTTGCATGATCTAAAAATAAAAAATGAGTCATATAAAAAGTGGGAACTAGGACAAATTACAAAGAATGAATATAAGCAAACAATACAGGTATGCAGGGACAAGACTAGAAAGGCAAAGGCACAAAACAAGCTAAACTAGCTACAGACATAAAGGGTAACAAGAAGACTTTCTATAAATATATTAGAAGCAAGAGGAAGACCAAGGACAGGGTAGTCCCATTGCTCACTGAGGAGGGAGAAACAGTAACAGGAAACTTGGAAATGGCAGAGATGCTTAATGACTTCTTTGTTTCTGTCTTCACCAAAAAGTCTGATGAAGAAATGCCTAACATAGTGAATACTAGTGAGAATGGGGTAGGTTTAGAACATAAAATGAAAAAGAACAAGTTAAAAATTACTTGGAAAAGTTAGATGTCCTCAAGTCACCAGGGCCTGATGAAATGCATCCTAGAATACTGAAGGAGCTGATAGAGGAGGTATCTGAGCCTTTAGCTATCATCTTTGAAAAATCATGGAAAATGGGAGAGATTCCAGAAGACTGGAAAAGGGCAAATATAGTGCCCATCTAAAAACAGAGAAATAAGAACAACCCAGGAAACTACAGACTAGTCAGTTTAACTTGTGTTCCAGGAAAGATAATAGAGCCAGTAATTAAGGAATTCATCTGCAAACACCTGGAAGATAATAGGGTTATGTAACTGCCAGCATGGATTTGTAAACAACAGATCATGTCAAACCAATCTGATAGCTTTCTTTGATAAGATAACAAGTCTTGTGGATAAGGGAGAAGTGGTGGACATGGTGTACCTAGACTTTAGTAAGGCATTTGACAGAGTCTCACATGATCTTCTTTCTTATCAATCAATTAGGCAAGTACAACTTAGATGTGGCTACTATAAGGTGGGTGCATAACTGACTGGATAACCGTTCTCAGAGAGTAATTAATGGTTCGTGATCCTGCTGGAAAGGGATAACAAGTGGGGTTTCGCAGGGTCTATTTTGGGACCAGTTCTGTTCAATATCTTCATCAGTGATTTAGATATTGGCATAGAGAGTACGCTTATTAAGATTGCAGATGATACCAAGCTGGGAGGGATTGCAACTGCTCTGGAGGATAGGGTCATAATTCAAAATGATCTGGACAAACTGGAGAAATGGTCTGAGGTAAATAGGATGAAGTTTAATAAAGACAAATGCAAAGTACTCCACTTAGGAAGGAGAAATCCTTTTCACACATACAGAATGGGAAGTGACAGTCTGGGAAGGAGTACGGCAGAAAGGGATCTAGGAGTTATAGTGGACCACAAGCTAAATATGAGTCAACAGTGTGACGCTGTTGCAAAAAAAGCAAACATGATTCTGGGATGCCTTAGGAGGAGTGTTGTGAGCAAGACATAAGAAGTCATTCTGCTCTGCTCTGTGCTGATTAGGCCTCAACTGGAATATTGTGTCCAGTTCTGGGTATTACATTTCAAAAAAGATGTGGAGAAATTGGAGAACGTCCTGAGAAGAGTAAGAAGAATGATGAAAGGTCTAGAAAACATGACCTATGAAGGAACACTGTTTAATTTGGAAAGGAGAAGACTGAAGGGACATGCTGATGGTTTTCAGGTATCTAAAAGGGTGTCACAAGCTGGAGAGAGAGAAATTGTTCTCCTTGGCCTCTGAGGATTGGACAAGAAGCAATGGGCTTAAATTGCAGCAAGGGAGGTTTGGGTTGGACATTAGGAAAACATTCCTAACTCTCAGGGTGCTTAAACACTGGAATAAATTTCCTAGGAAGGTTGTGGAGTCACAATCTCTGGAGATATTTAAGAGCAGGTTAGATAGACATCTATCAGAGTTGGTCTAAAAAGTTCTGCCATGAGGGTAGGGGACTGGACTTGAAGACCTGTCGAGGTCCCTTCCAGTTCTAGTGTTCTATGATTCTATAAGACCCAGTGAAGAAACAAGTGCACTGGAGTGAAATGTACCCTTCAGTGTCTCTGCCGCTGGGTAGCTTACTGCCAGTTCAGAATACAGCAGCAACTTTTTATTTATTTTTAACTTGAGCCTTGTAGTTTTATTCCTCCACCCAGAGAGCTACAGTAATTCAAGCTGAAGGTCATGAATGCATGGATCACTCATCATCACTGTGGCTAAATATGAATTTGACAGGAGGCTGTTTGAGTCAAGATTGGTTGCGGCAGTCTTCCTGCCATCTGTAATGGGAAAGGGGTGTAATAAACATAGGCACAGATTATGTGAAAAGAAGCTGTGAAAAGACCACAGAAGCTGTGAAAAGTCTTAACAGAAGACGTAAAGGAGTAGATGCCGTCAGTGGAGGAGAAGAAAAGGAGTTCTATGAAATGCTCTCCTTCGTCCACTAGCATCATCTCAGTCACCTGATTTGACTTTAGATACTAGTCTCAGACAGGCCCTCAAATGGCTGAAGTAAAGTGCTCTTTCTGTTTATATTTGAGGGGAAAGTAATTGTAAATCTCGGTATCATATTTGTACTGCAGACATTTTAATCCATACTGTTGCACAGTGCCCTCAAGTGGCTCTGTGCAGTTACTGACAAGAATGAAAGACAGGACAGATCCCTCTGAGACTTCACAGGTGAGGACTTTGAAAGTGGAGGAGCAATGTCCATCATGACTCTTTCGATGCCCTCTGAGAGAAATAAGTGAAGCAATATCAGCATGGTCTCACTCTCCCTTGCCATGTCTCAAAGGTAGGCATAATTTCATGCCTGATTATAACAAATGCTGTGACGAGGGCAATATGAATAAATATTGCTTCTGAGAACTATACTTTTTCTAGCCCAGGACACAGATCAGATTCACAGGTGGTAACTGCTTTTTCTGAATTACTTCCAGAACTCTGTTGTGTGGACAGGGTGAATTAAGAGAAGGAAGGTATTAGATTCCATGTACTCACCTGAATACTCCACTTCTATATTGGCTAGAGCCTGCACAGTGTTCTCATATGTTACCTTTTCAAAATCAAGCATTCCTACATTGTCATACACTTGCTTTGTTTTTGTGATCAGATCTTCTGTTCTTGTTCTGATTTGCTCTGGTGATAGGTCCCATTTCAAAAAGTTTTGGTCTGATGCTGCATGTGAAGAGGCTTTGGGAGGGGCAGTAATTTCTGTTCCCAACGTCATTCTCAATAAAAACCGTGGGCCACCAGCTCTGAAATTTTAAAAATGAATTTAGGAGATTAAGAATATAATTAAAGCAAAAATTCTATTGTAAATTATTTTTTAAAATAATGTTGCCTTTTTAAACAGTATTTTAGACATAAAAACATATTCCTTTTTAGATCTATCCTTTCTTGTACAGGCCTTAAGCAGTTGTACTTTTAATTAAATAAATCTGTATTTTAATATAATTCAGATATCAGCCTTTATTCCCCCTGGCTCCCAGCCTGACCAAGTGCCATTTGATATGTATGCAAAAATTAGAAATAAAATCTTTTAGTTAAGCAAAATTAGACAAAACAGCTTTTCTTAGTGAGTTGTTATTCAAAACACCAATTACTGAAACTCTATGGAAACAGACAATAGTGTTTTGTATTTTGAGACAAGGAAAGGAGAATATGAAACAAAATCTAGATTACCAGGATAGTAAGTTATATTCAACATAAACAAAATGGCAAAAAACATTTAATTTGGAAGCGTAAATTAAAATGGACAGTTCTGAAGCTTCATGTTTGCTGTGTTCCAGGCCATGAGAGCAAATTACATCATAGTCTCCTGCTTCGAAATGTATTGTCTTAACTGTTGCAGATCTTATATGAGTATTTCATATTGTTTTCCCTCTGATATTGGGGCAGGTATGAAGGTCTCCCATATTTATAAACAACCTTTGTGTTTAGTTAATAACTTCAATTTAGTCAACTGTAGGCATATGCTCAACATCTGATAGGACATCACGCTGGTAAAGGTAGATGCCAGCTCTTGCTAAGTCCTTAGGCCTCAGCTGAGTACCAACAAATTCATTGCTGAAAACCTGTCTGTTTCACCTGTGCATTAGTATATTTAAGATGAATATTGAACCTAACAGAATGTTTACATTTTATTAAATGCGTGCAAATTGCTGCATGCATTAATCTCTCTTATTCTATCTTTATTACATGCTATAAAGTAATATTTAAGAGTCTCCTTTATAATTGTAAAACTGAAACTGAATCCAGTCAGGACTGATAGTCTTCTAGCTATTAAAATGCCCTATCAAAACTATATGGGCCATTGTGGAACATTACAATACAAAGACTTAATTGCCCTTTCACACACATGAAGAGTGTGAAAAGGCTACTGCCCGTGTCCCATCCCCTTGAATTCTGTTAAAATAAAAATAGCTTATCAGAACATTTTTCATTTCTCTTTTGAATTGACTGTGTTGTGTATAGGAATACTCTCAACTAGACACCCACAACTGACCTGTGCCAACCAATTTAGGCTTGCCAGGCTTGGGCTGTTTCACTGCTGTGTAGAGTTCCAGGTTACGCCTGGAGACGAGTATCTAGGGCAGGAGTGGGAATTATTTTTGAAGCAGGGGCTACTTTGCAAATTTCGGAAGTGGTCGTGGGCTACTCCATAAGAGGTGGAGCCTCACGTGGAAGGGCGGGGCCAGGAGACTGAGTGCTCTCCCACCCACAGACCCTGATTGGCTGGGGATAGGAGAGCGCATGAACTCTTTGCCCCCTGCTCTGCCAGGGGCGCCCAGCGCCTAAAGAGAACCTCCAGCTGCTTTGAACAGCTAGCGGTTCCTACTAGGTGCTGTGTGGGAGGAGACTTCCCATGCTCCCTCTGCCTCCAGGCCAGTCAGGAGGGAGGGAGGAATAGACGGACAGACACACACACATGCAGAGACAGGAAGGAGGAGCGCAGCACCATCAGGAGTGGGGTCAGAAGAAGGCTTTTCTCTTAGCTCGGGAGGCGCCTCGTCTCTCCTTCCCTCCCTGAGCTGTGTCTCCTAGCTTCTGGGAAGGGCCTGGGGGCAAGGGAGCAGACATAGTCTCTGGCTCCCTCCACTCCTCCACATGGTTCCCTTCTGGTGCTGTGTGCAGTTCCTTCTGATGCTGCATGCTCCTGGATGGTGGAGAAAACTTTGTGTATGCTCCCCACACTCCCAGGCTAATCAGGGCCTGGAGGCACAGGAGTGCCCAAGATCTCTCACTACCCGCCTCACCCTGGCCAGGCAGTGTTGCCAACCCACAGAAATTTCATTTATGGACAAAATGGGAAAAATTTATGGACATTTTTTACGGACATAATTTTTATACTATATTAAGATGACATAAATGGCCAAAAGTGAAGAGTAATCGTCATTCATACATCACAAGAACAATATGCTATTTAACTCACTTTCATTTAATTAGTCATGGTACTGGAAGTTTTCCATTTTGTGATTGTACATCCGAACACTGACAACTAAAACGTCCAATTTCTGCTGCTCTGCATTAAAATGACTGAAGCAGCACAGAAGAAATTCAATTGCTATAGAATAACTGCTGTTTTTTGAAATTTTATTGCACTTCTACGAAATTTACGGACACCTAAATTTTTTTTACGGACTTTACGGACATGTCCAATTTCAGCTAATTTTTTTATGGACTGTCCGTAAATTTACTGATGGTTGGCAACCCTACTGCCAGGAGGGAACCATGTGCCCCTGGCGGGGCGGGGAGCAAGAGACTTTGCCTGCTCCCCTGCCCCCAGGACCTAATTAGCCTGGGGATGGAGGAGAATGCGAAGTCTCCTCCCCCTGCCAGGGCATGTGGTTCCCTCTGGTACCACATGCTCCTGGCAGGGGAGGAGACTTTGTTCACTCCCCGTTCCCAGGTCTCAATCGGGCCTGGTGGTGGGGGAATGGCAGGACAGCTGAGGGCCAGATTAACCCACTTGGCAGGCTGGATCCAGCTCATGGTGGCCCCTTTGCCCACCCCTGATCTAGGACCTTGTGAAAGTATCCATCTAGGCTAGGCCCAGAAACATTGCTTAATTTATGTCAGAGTTTGCCAAGGCTGATGTCCAGGATTGACAGTTCATACCATTAGCACCTCTGGGTTTGCTGTGGAAAATTATGAAAATGAAAAACTTTCTTGAGTCCCAGTTCAAATTATGCATGCCCAGAAGCCTACAAAACAATGAAACAGCTCCATGAGCCCAAGATGGCTAGCATGGTCTAGCTGCGGGTGTCAGTTGCAGTGTAGATATATCCTGACAAGGTTGGAACTAAGAACCAGAAGCAGAGATCCCCAGGATCAATTTTAGTTAGCCCTAAAAGGAATTCAATGCTGACAGATCACTGCAACTCTGTAACTTTTTAAACCACACGCTGTAACTCATGTGTGTATATATACTTGTCTACTTTAAACGTAATAATGTTAATTTCCTTTTCCCGCTTAATAAATGTTTAAATTATAGGATTGTCTACAAGTGTGGTCTTTGGTGAGAAATCTAAGGTACAAATTGACAGGAGAGAGAGATGGAAAGTGACTGGTTTCTTGGGAGAGGAAGCAACCTGAATATTTTATGATCGTTGGTGTATAGCAGGGTGGTTCACCAGGGTTAGTGGGCCACCAGCTCTTTATTTACCTGCATGTCTGCAAGTATGGCTGCTTGCAGCTCCCTTTGGCCACAGACTGGTGTTCCTGGACAAAGGGAGCCACAGAAAGTGGTTCTCCAGTTTGCACCAGTTCTCATAGCTCCCACTGCCTGGGCACAGCACTTTTTGCTAATCCCTGGGCTGTGTCTACACTGGCGCAATCTTGAGCAAAAGCAGCCGCTCTTGTGCAAAAACTTGCTGCCTCTCTACACTGGCCACAAGTTCTTGTGCAAGAACACTGATGTTCTAATGTGTGAAATCAGTGCTTCTTGTGCAAGAACTATGATGCTCCTGCTCAGGAATAAACCCTCTTGCGCAACTGTTCTTGCACAAGAGGCCAGTGTAGACAGGCAACATGAATTTCTTGCGCAAGAAAGCC